ATGTAGTATCTTATACAATAATATTGTATGCTATACTGAAGTATAGTATACTAATTATACTCTAACATTATACTCTAACTTATATGTATGTATGTATGTATGTATGTATGTATGTATGTATTTATGTATATATATATATACACATATATATGTATATACATATAGGTATTATATGTATGTATGTGTATAAATAAATAAATATATAAATATATATATATGCACATGTGTGTGTATGTATGCATGCGCATGAATGCATGCATGCATGCATGCATGCATGTATGTATGTATGTATGTATGTATGTCTATGCGTGTGTATACATACCTACCTACCTACCTACCTACAAACATACATACAGACAGACAACATACAGACGACACACAGACATACATACATGCATACATAAACTGATTCATTCATTCATTACAGACGTACAGGCATACATACGTCCATGCATGCATGCATGCATGCATGCATGCATGCATGCATGCATGCATGCATACATACATAAAAGCAGACATACATAGTTCATAGGCCTACTTAGGCCTACTTTGTGCTGGTTCTCGGTGTAAGCGCTGCACCCGCGAAATTGATGGACTCCACCACCAGGTGAGTCCTGGAGTGATGGTGGCAAGGCTTACAGGGTGGAATGTCTGCCAAGTGTGATGAAGGAAGCCCAGGCCGCTGCGATCCACTGTCCTGTTGATGGTGGCATCGTAGAAACCGTAACCTCGGTTCTGCAGACGTGGATACTGGATTCTGTTTACCGGGTGAGAGCCTGCCTCTGTGCAGCTGGGGTGCTGTTGCTATCATCACCATGAGACGCAGACTCTGACAAGATGCCCCCGCCGCCTCCTGCTCAGGTGGGGCAGGTCTACGGCAAGTTGCCCCTGTCTGTGCGATATATTTGTCCAGGTAAGGTGTTGTTGGAAACCGTCTCAGAAGACTCAGCACGAGAACAACACATGGGCAGCCCATGCTAAAAACCTGTCATCACAATAGCTGCACGCAAAATGCCCCCACGACTTACCGAACCTCAAGTAGGGTTTCCAGCTAGACTCATCAGCAGGTGTCACTATTTCCGAAAACAAAAACCCTCGCGCTTGATCTGATGTGACTGCCAGCGCCTGAGATGACGCAGAGCAAGCCTGCGAGGGGCAATTGAAACCCTCGCCACCCTAAAGGTTCCTCCCACCACCCAGATGCGCAATTCACACGGGCACATGGTCTCTGTGCCTCCGAGCTGAATCGTATGTTGAATATGCGTGTGCCCGGTGACCAAGAAGTCCAGACCGAATTCAACATGCCTCAGCCATCTGCTGCCGGAAGTGTCCATCTGCGACGACAAGAACATGCGAAACTGTCTCGGCTTGCGATCGCAGACACGAAAGAATTATACTTGGCTAGATCAGACAGGCGGCAATCTGTTGTACCACGCAGGCTGACAGGGGGCACACCCTAATCGATGCCCGGATACAACATGAAAGCAAGAAGCGTTCCACACTGCATTACCATCCAGACATCCACACTGCTGTTCCTTGTTGCCTTGCCTGATGTCCACACGGGAAGTGGGTAACCTTGCAGGCAAGACCGCTCCGAGAGCACATGTTCTAGGGCACTCGGCGTGGGTGATCAGCAGAGTGTAGGTGGAGCCATGTCGTCCCTTCACACTTCATGGTCCCTGAGGAGCTGTTCCCCCCGTGCTGGTACATGTAGCCCGGCCTTTCGATGCTAACGTCTCCGAAAGACACCCTCGAACAGCATCCTATGCCGCCCATGATCCGCAAGTTTCTATCTTCACCTTGCACCATAAACCGAGATGATACAAGCCAGGCCAGCTCAGCACATACCTGTACCTATCTTGTGCCCGGGCACCCTGAGTACCCAGAAGCTTCACTCCGTAGACGCTATCGAAACAAGACTGATATTGGCCGCCAAGCTGCTATCACTTGCCATGTGGCCTGCGAGGCCTTAAGCTGTTTCTCGACCCAAACGATCTGCTCCTGTCGAATTGACGGTGACGTTTGAAAGGCTGAAAATTTCAGGAGAGAGTTCCTGCCACAGCTTGGCGAAGTACATTGGACCTTGGCTCCGACGCGTCGAGAGTCGAGGAGAGTTGAGATTCCGGCCCTCACAAACACCTACAGTAAGGCCTAAAGGCGAAGCATCCCGCTAACCTCGACATTGCCGAGCTCCAGGCAATCTGCCATGGAGACCGGCCCACCGACGCTTGCACAGCTGGACCCAGGAGAGTTATGTTGACAACCGCAGATGTTCCTCGACATTGACATCACAGGCATGCAACGGCATCTGTCGCAGATAGATCCTTTCAAGGCTCGTCGTGGGTCTTGCTGCCGGGTCCACTGCGTCCTCGTGTCGTTGCTTGCAAGCAGGGACAGCATCGAATGACTGCAAAGTCTCGCAACGATCGGCACGCCACGCAGCAGCGCCTCGACGTTTGAATCCGTCAGCAAGATGTCTATCGTGAAACTCTGTTCCGGAAATGCAACCTCGGCCGGTCGGACATGATCAGGCAGTACACCGTTTGACTGCCGCCTTTTGTAGGAGATCACAGAATTATGCTGCAGTTCCTGTGCAAGGGGCGTGCTGCTTCCAGTACTGTGCTGGCAGCCTCCACCTGAAGGGGAAGATGTGGGTTTAGGGTGGGCCCTCCTCGCCTGAAAGCCTGTGTCACCCATGCCACACAATGTCACACAACAGAGGCAGGCCGAGACCTCTGGTCATGCCAAGTGAAGGCAATCCTGGGAAGCTGCCGTAGACTCCGACCGTAGACCCGTCGAGCCGAGCGGCGAAACGATCCCGACGACGGCGAATCATATCTCCACTACTCCCACAAGCTTCTTTAATCTTCTTTAACTGCTCTGCTTCTGTCTGCAGCTAACATGCCGAGGCTCTGCTGATCCCAGCCTGCGGTAAAGAGCCAGCCGCCATAGTCATGGTTCCTGAGACCGACTGCCGGCAATCGCACTGTTGCGTCCACCCGATGAATTGACATCTGCAGGGTCTTGGGGCTCTCTGGAGACACCAGGCAGACAACCAGCCATTCACTCTTCACACTAACCACGAAAAACGTTTCGACTACCACCCGTTCACAACCAAAAGAAATCTGGCTTGGCTGTCGCAGGCACATGCTGTGGAGGGTTCGTGGGATATGAAAGACCATTCAGTCCAGGGTTCCCCAGCACCGAGAACCACACAACGTTGTTGAGCTCGGGGCTGTTGTAGACCTGCCTAAAGATGGTGTCAAACCTTGGCAGTTGCTGTGGTTCGAGGACGATCTCGCAAGGGAGCGTTTGTGCGATGTGTCCATGGAACATATGGGCCGTGGTCCAATGCACTCCTGCCATTGGCTGGGATCCGCATTGGATGGGGATGCCACCCCAGTAGAAGTTGTCCCCAACCTGGCATGTCGTGGCCACGGGTAGGGCTAGAGGCTAGAGGCTGGAAGGACCGGCCGTGTGTTGCGCTGTCCAACACAGCGCTGATTTAGTGTATGACTCTAACATGATTAATTTTACACAAACTTTTGAGTTTTTTATTTTGGTCTGGGTGAGAGTCGACATGCTCCGCTGGCCAGAATTTCCGGGCACAAGTGCAGTAGTCATTGTGTAGGGATCCAGGCCTAATTTGGGCTTAAGAATTTTTAGGAGGCCTCCGGCCCTAATTCTAAAGGGTGTGGCATTTTTTGAAAATCGGGCCATAAAAATCTTTGACTGCTTTCGGGCCAGACTAGTAAAAAGTAAACCTGAGAGAAGATGAAGAGAGCCCCACTCTGCCAGAAGCCAGAAACTGTGGAGTTGAAGAACTGCAGCCCTGGGCAAGAAGCCAGAGCATATGGACTTGAGATGACTGGAGGAACTGCAGCAAGCGAGACTTGAGACCTCTGCCTGATCATGAACCCTTATCAACGGAGCCCTGTTACAAACCTGGCAAGGGTATCCCTCAGCAGCGGAGAGCCAGAAGCACATTGAAATGTCAGTGCCGCTACCGCTACGTGAGAGCTTGAGCGACTTGTGTCCGTATAGCCTTGCAACCTGCACTGAACTTTCCACTTCAATTGTTCGCTGACTGTACCCTGCAATGCGGGCTTGTCCTTGCTAGGTGGCAGCAGACTCCCAACTACTGATTGCTACCGAGCCGCGCTAGTACCACCGCCAAGACGACTAAGACGACGACGACGACGGCGACGACGACGACGACGACGATGACGACGATTACTACTACTACTACTACTACTACTACTACTACTACTACTAGTACTACTACTACTACTACTACTACAACTACTACTACTACTCCTGCTGCTACTACTACTACTACTACTACTACAACTACCACTACCACTACCACTACTACTACTACTACTACTACTACTACTGCTACTACTGCTACTACTACTACTACTA